GTTCCAAAGCTAGAATAAAGCATGAACACCTCACAGGGACCTGTGAAGTCCTGCACAATACAGCCCCACCTAGCTGCAGCTCCTCAGCCTCATCCTGACTGCTCATCCCATTACTCACTAGGTTTCTAGGTACACAGGCTCTCTCTTCACCTTGAACTCAACCATTCCCTTCCCACCTTCAGTACACAGCCTGTGACGCTGCTTTTCTCTGTCCGGAAGGCACCTAATCCCTACTGCTCACGCAGATGATAGACAGATGCCTTCTCATTCTGCAGTTTTATTTAACATCCCCTTCTCGGGAATGGGTCTCCTCCCCGTTAATTCTGTATCACTATTTGCTGTTCATTTCTTCATAACATTCACTCCAATTTGTTATCACGCCATCTTTTTGCCTATTTGTGTCACCCTCACCAGATTGTAAGAATAAATACAGGGACCATACCTACTGCTACCCAATGTACACCATGTGCTTATTACAGTTCTTCAAACACAGGGGCTGAATATTTTCAGAATAAACAAATGAGCATCAGAATAACCTGGGGAACTTCTTAAAATGAACAGTCCTAGGCCTCCAGTCCTACACACATTTCCAGCTACCTAATGACCTTCTTGTCGCTTCAACACTCCGGGGATTCTGATAAAGTAAGTCTCAAATTCTGTATTTTTTGGCAAGCATTCCAGGCATTTCAGGAATAGCTGTTTGAAGCCAAGTATTAGCTATCATCTTTAATGGATAGTAACTCTGCCTAAAATAGGCCTGAACAGCACCAAAGCAGGTGTCAAGCAAAGTATACTTTGTCTGAATGTGACATTGGCTGCAAATAGGACCATCTACTTTCAGCCTGTTCAGGTTGGTTCTATCACCCTGTTCGTAACAGAGGCAATCTAATCAGAACTGCATGACGCGTTGCAGAACTCAGAACAGGCAAATATACTTACCAGCCTCTACAATAGCCGGCTTGTTACTAGAGCAGACAGACAGCACCTTCAGTACCCTGCTTGTGGTCCACAGAAGTTTCTCGTAAGTGTAGGTCCTCATTATATTCACTAAAGCTTGAGGTCCACCACTAGCCAGAATGATCAGCTAGAAAGGTGTATATATATTGTTAGTCACGGAATCTTGATCAAATGCCTGAGAAAAGCCATTATTACCAACCTCTTTTATTATTACCAGAATTTCAGCCAGCTTGCCAATGACTTAAATGTATTCCTGGTCCTCACTACCTAGACCCCCCATACTGGGGCCCTGTTTAACCCTCCTCCTTCTACAACATTTCCCTCCAATTCATGCTTCTAGTCTTCCCCAAAATACATCAAGTCTGGCCCAATTTTATTCTCCCCACACTGACCAGGTTAGTATGAAACAGTAATGCCCTGATACAGAAGTCACATCAAAGCTGATTTGTTGTGTGAAAATCTGAACCAGAATGGGCCTTAAAAATGCCTAATGATTTGACTCTTTACTTCTCCTAATCATATCCACCTCAAAAAGAGATAAAATAATCTTGCCCTTTATTTCCCTGCATACCCCAACCTCCCAACTCTACCTTGATTTCCTAAAAACAAATCTCACCACTTCATGACTCTGCCAAAAATTACTTAATTGTTTCCCACTGTTCTTTTAACAGGTTCTACCAAGTCCTGCAGGGCCTGCCTAGTGCGTCCCTCAACAGACTCACGTCAAACCTTTCTTCTTCCTTACTGTTCGTAGTTCTTGAATTTCCAAAACTCACCCTGCTCCTCCCTCAACAGGACTTTCAAAGATGCCATTTCCTCTCCCTAACCTTCACCTAATCAATCCCTTCTCCTCCTCGAGAGCTGAACTCAACTATCACTTTCGTTAAGAAATCTCCTTGGACCCTCAAAACAGGGTCAGTTCACTTATGTGCTCTCAAGACCCTTTACTTCCTCGTAACAAATCAAATAGTAACTAGGTTACTATTTCAGTGTCTCTCTCCCACCCAAGAATGAAAGCTCTAAGAGAAGCCTGCTTGCTCTATCCCTAACACCTAGCACAGTACATTATTTACCAAAAACTCAAATGTTTAAAGAAACAGACTTGCCCAACTTTTCTAGGATACAAAGGGTGAGGCACACAATGAATGTGCAAAAATTCGTAGAAGGACATGACACTGAGTCTCCAATGCTCCATGACAATCACACTCAGAACAATTCTTTTACCTTGCTTTCTTGATTGCCGTAAGCTAAAATCTGAAGGCAGTCTGTTGTAATAGCCAAGAATTTAACATTTGTTTTGTTGAGCAAGGCAACCATTTTCTGCAGCCCGCCAGCTAAACGCACTGCCATTTTAGCTCCTTCCTGATGCAACAAAAGGTTGTGGAGAGTTGTAATGGCATAAAACAATACAGAATCCACTGGTGAACTGGGAAGAAGAAAAAAGTCTTATCAGAAATGCTGTGATTGCATTCTTCTCCTTCTGAGCTTTGAGTATTCTGACCATGTTTTCTTACCCAAGCATCTTCACCAGGGCAGGAATGCCCCCAGACTTAAAGATGGCCAGCAAGCCCTCACGGTGGTGGGAGAGATTGTGCAAGGTCCCAGCTGTACAGCGAGCCGTTTCCACATCATTTGTGTTCTGCATGGTGCGTACAATAGCAGACACCATCTGAGGGGAACGCATGATGGCATGTCTGGAAGCTTCCTTTTTAGAAAGCTGATGGACCATAACTGCAGCCTTATTCACCACCACCTATAATGCAGACGAATTAAGAGACATCATGAGTTTTCAGTTTTCAAATACTGACATTCTGTAGACATTCTGAGACTACTTGCTTGAGAATTTCCTTCAAAGCAGATTAAAAAGCTAGCCACGTCACTACTTACCTGGTCTTCATCATTTAGCAGTTTTGTCAATTCAGGGATTGCACGTGTGGCAAGTTCTGCATCATCTTGATAGTTAATCAGATTTACAACTGCATGCTTCAGCATCTGTGATGGCTCAGCCAGACGCTGGACGTTAGTGGGATGAGCGGCGTCAAACTGCGTAGATGGGATCTGCATGCCCTCATCTAACGTCTCAGGGAACATAGCCGCCCGTACCCTCTGAGCTCGAGTCATTGCATACTGTCCGTCAATATCTGGAAAGGCAGATTCAACACTCACTGTCCACAGCTCAGCATTCACCCGAGTACTTGCTATCCTAAATGGTAGAGGTGACGTTGCAATCACTCCTTTTTCTTTACCCACCATTTTATTTAAGCCATTATCCACTAACTTTATAACAGTAACTATTTAATTCTCAACACTGCATTCTGACTTTCAGTAAGGCAGTAATATTCTTACCAGCTACTTGTTCTTGAGTGAAGGACTGGGAAAATCCCTGCTCCCACTCATACAGGACTTGGGTGGTATCCACATCCTCTTCCTCAGGATTGCCTTTACCACTTAGAGAAGGAGCTGTGGTAGTGGCACCAGAATGGATTCCAGAGTCCAGGTAAGACTGCTGCTGCCAGTGACTAACAGCTGCTTTTCTGTCTGGCTCCATGGCCATGTCCAGCTCCATCAAATCAGCTATAAAAAGCAAACAGCATTAGTATTACTATGAGGGAAACGATATCTTAATCTGAAAATAAAAATGTTTGATATGACCCACTGAAATATTTTTAGAAATAAAGTCAATTTGAAAGACAGCTGAGAATAATAGAAATGATGGCCAGGTCAGCTCAGTGATGAAAACTCTACACTCTTAAGGGACCACCTAACAGTTACTCACTGAGTCAGTGGAAGAATGGTACTGCATCCAGGCTTCAGAAGCAGTCATCCAGACTAGATTCCTGCTGGTGGCTTGTTTGCTATTTCACCAAGCCATTAGGAGAAGTGAGCAGAAAATGGAGCAAAGGGTAGCCTGACAAGTAAGCAGGGAGAGAGGAAAGCAGGGGAATCTGAGACAGACTGGGTTAATGGCAACGAAGCAGAGCCCCAATTCAGTAACAAAAGACTTATGATACAAACCTTGGGTAGCCATTGTCCACGCAGGATTTTCAAAACTGTTGTATGGTATATTTCAGAGACCCTAAAAGAGTCAATCAGAAGTCATTAGGATTTTAAAATAGCTTGATTTTAATACTCATAAGTCACAAGGATACCTGTCAAATGTCATGGACTACATCCACAAAAAGTCCCAAATCCTTTTACCATATGATATAGTGAAACACAGACCTCATGGTCTCCAGACACCTCAACCACAGCTCTATTGCTGCTGAACTTCTATGTGAAAACTTCTCTTTAACAAGCACCTCTTTTCAGTAGATACACAGGATGTCAAAAGGCGTAATTATTGAAGATGACAAAGAAAGCATAAACACTCAAGTAATGAAAGCCAGGAAGGAGAAACAACGATTCAAAATCAACTTCTTGAGTTCCAAAAGTCCTCTCCCTTTTTAAATTCTTTCATTGAAAAATTTATAGATCTTTGGACAATAGAGGTCCAATGGGATTTTAAAAACACCAAATTTTCATTAAAGGGGGTCAACTGTTACTGTTTTATTTTCTAATATAATGCAGTGCCATCTAAAATACCTTCATAAAGCAGACTGTGGTGACTGGATCAAAAGAGTAGGTTTCAGATTTTTTATTAATAAGTAAAATTACTTTTCAAATCAAAGTTTGTAAGGGAAATTAAAAGCACCTTTTTAAGTTAAATTTTTTAAAGTTCAAATTAATAGCACTGATTTATTGCTATAATATAAATATTACTAACTGGAATGCTTCGATCCATATAAAAATCATTCACATATATATAAATCTTAGCACTAATTTATGTCTGCATTTTGGCTTTATTGTGTAATATTGAGGAAAACACTGAATCATGCAGGGAGCTATTTGCAAATGAGACCAATTTAAGGGCTTATGGTCTCTAGATATTACTAGTAACAAAATTTCCTTTAACATATGGATCAATGGAACAGAACAGAGAGCCCAGAAATAAACCCAAACTTTTGGTCAATTAATCTTTGACAAAGAAGGCAAAAGCATATAATGGAGAAAAGACAGTCTCTTCAGCAAATGGTGTTGGGAAAACTGGATAGCAGCATGTAAGTCAATGAAGTCAGAACACTCCCTCACACCATACACAAAAATAAGTTCAAAATGGGTTAAAGACTTAAACATAAGATAAGACGCTATAAATCTCTTAGAAGAAAACACAGGCAAAGCATTACGACATAAAACTCAGCAATGTTCTCCTAGGGCAATCTACCCAAGCAATAGAAATAAACGCAAAAATAAACAAATGGGGCCTAATTAAACATATAAACTTTTGCACAGCAAAGGAAACCGTAGGCAAAACAAAAAGACAACCTATGGAATGGGAAAAAATTTTTGCATGAGACTGATGAGGGCTTAATTTCCAGAATATATAAACAGCTCATACAACTGATAACAAAAAACCAAACAACCCAATCCAAAAACGGGCACAAAACCTAAACAAGCAATTCTCCAATGAAGACATACAAATGGCCAATAGGCACATAAAAACTGCTCAATATCACTAATTATCAGAGAAATGCAAATCAAAACTACAATGAGGTATCACCTCACACCAGTCAGAATGGCCATCATTCAAAAGTCTACAAACGATAAATGCTGGAGAGGCTGTGGAGAAAAGGGAACCCTCCTACACTGTTAGTGGGAATGTAGTTTGATGTAGCCATTATGGAAAACAGTATGGACATCCCTCAAAAGACTAAAAATAAACCTACCATATGATCCAGCAATCCCACACCTGGGCATATATCCAGAGGGAAACATAATTCAAAATGATGCATGCACCTCAATGTTCACAGCAGCACTATTTACAATAGCCAAGACATGGAAACAACTGAAATGTCCATCTATAGATGACTGGATAAAGAAGCTGTGGTATATATACACAATGGAATACTACTCAGCCATAGAAAAGAATAAAATAATGCCATTTGCAGCAACATGGATGGACCTAGAGAATGTCATTCTAAGTGAAGCAGGCCAGAAAGAGAAAGAAAAACACCATATGATATCACTTACATGTGGAATCAAAAAAAACAAATGAACTTGTTTACAAAACAGACTCACAAACATAGAAAATAAACTTAGTTGGGGGGGAGAGAGTGGGAAGGGATAAAGTGGGAGTTCGAGATTTGCAGATACTAACTAATATATATCAAATAGGTAAACAACAAGTTATACTGTATAGCACAGGGAACTGTATTAAATATCTTGTAGTAACTTATGGTGAAAAATATGAAAATGAATGTATGCCTATTTATATATGACTGAAGCATTGTGCTGTACAACAGAAACTGACACATTGTAAACTGACTATATACTTCAATAAAATATATTTTTTTAATGTCCTTTATTACAAAGCCTGAACAAGTTCATCTTGCACTACAAATTAAATATTAGGAGTAAATTACCAATGTGTAAAAATATGGACTAAGATATTTAAGTATGAACTGTGTTTTCTGTCAATGTACAAAAAGTTTATGTTTAATGCAGTTGGAAACTGTCCTCTAACTCTCAAGTCCTATTTTCTCATATAAAGGAAGCATGTGTTGATTATTCCTGGAAATGCTCTTCCAAAACTAGATTTTTACAATCACAAAAATCACTTGACACCTAAAGCTGACAAGAGATGTGGATACAATTGTTTTAGTGTCCACAGAAGAAAACAATTAACAATTTACTTATATGGCAAAATGAAGGACAGAAAATAATAAAGGTGATTCCTGTCAACAAGAAACCTGTATTTTAAAATCAAGTACTAAACAGGATTATGTATTTAATGCTTTGATTCAATAGGACAGGAGTGGTGCATAGAAGCCTGCATTTTTAATGAACATTCTAGGAGTCAGAAACTGATCTGCACACCACACTGAGAAATACCATGATGGAAGGAACCCAGGTTCTCCGTCCAGTGATACTGTGTTTTAGTTTGTATCTTTTGCCTATCTTTGTCACTGGCTATTTAACCACTTCTCTACCCCTCTGAAAAGCGGGTTCTCCACTCCAGCTCCCAATATATTTCTGGGAAAGGGGACCTAAAACATGTTCTACACTAAGCACCTCCTCTGGCTAATGCCACAGAGCTCAGAAACCAACCAATCACATCTACAGGGCATGCAGCTATTTAAGAAGTGCTTTGATACATCTGGCATCAAGGAAAAAAGTATTTATTGTGTTGTTTCCTTACTGTTGATACAAAGGCAAAACATATTAGCTGTGTTATTAACTAAAATGTGTTCATGTACCCTGCTGACCTAGTAACCTGACCATGATTTATAATGATTTTATGGGGAAAAAAAAGTAAGTTCATGTTCCAAACTAACAACATCCATTTGTATGTTGCGACTTCTTAATACTATTATCTTTTTATAACACTTCCAAATTTATGCAATATACATAAAAATTATTCTTGCTCTTCACAGCAACCCTCTGAGGTAAGAGAGGGAAAGTGTCAATCAGCAGGTAGAGAAGTAAAAAGCAGGAATGAAAATGGAGATCTACATAAGCAGCAGTATAAACCAACAGTTGCAAAGAAATCCAAACTTACGTGAACTCTGAGAATTATTTACTAAAGAAATTGAATATACTGTCCAGAGAACAAGGGTAGAATCCTGCCCCAAAGTGAAGCCTTCCTCATTCTTCCTTAGGGCAGAATTTTCAGTCGAAGGATTGGCTCCCCTCCACTACACCCTGCCAATCATTAAGGGCCTAATCAACTAAGGCTTATTTAACATTTCAGGAAACCAAGACTCTAGAGAAACAGAACTTAAAAATCAGGGTAAGGTGAGGAGGGAAACAGAATGTTTCACTTTATTATGCTCACAGAGACAGGAAAGAATAAAAACAAAAAGTTCAATAGATAACTGAAGTTGACAAAAACTACAGCATAAAGGAGAAAGACACACAGAAGTACAAAAGAGAAGAAGCAAGAGGATCAACCCAGGGGATCAAAGCTCCAACTCACAGGCACTTCAAAACGAATTCTGAGAAACAAAAATAGGGAAAAGCCCACTAAGTACTAATCAAGATAAGGGTGGATGGTGCTTAAAAATTAAATACTAAATATTCCCACATGCAACTGATCACAAACTATAAACTACATTAGAATGTTTTGTGTCTTGCCTGCTTTATCACCACCAAGTGGTGTTCTGACAAAGAGGGTGCTTGGGGATCACCAACTCAGTCTAATAAGGTAGTGGACACGTGCATCCTTTTCGTTTTTCTTTTTGCTTTTTAAACATATACTCTTTTCCAATTATATACTGTGTAAAGAATACCTCAAAGTTCATCTTACTATTTCTGACTTAAACTCTACAAGGTTTAGAAAAATGTATATCTATTACATATAATAATTTCTACCTAAGAAGAAAGTTCATCCTGAACCATACCCTATTCAGGGTATTACTATGAGTAATTTTTTCTTCAGCTTTTTGAACAAGAATACTTTAGCATGCTTGGTTTTTTTTTATTATGAAAATTTTGAAACATGCAGAGAAGCAGACACAACTTTATAATGAACACACACATCACTTATACGTAACAACTGTTAATATCGTGCCATATTGGTGCCTTCCTACTGAATGATTTTAAAGTAAATTACACACATTAGTACATTATGTGGCTACAGAAAGTAAGGATATTTTCCTACATACCACAACATTATTATAAAAGATTAGCCTTACCAGTTAATTTCAAAATGACTGTTGGAAGCTCTACCTCACCTTCTGTACTTTAAGTGGCCTTTGGTCAAAATCTATATGAGAAATCTTAACACAGATTTCACCCATCAACACAAAATTATCTTTACCTTGGATTTCAAAAGCTTGAGTACTACTATCTAGAAGTAATTTTGCTATATAAAGATAAAACATATCTATTATAAAATCAGTTTTATACTGGCAGTTCATGCTAACAATTCACTTTTCCAACAATCTATACTGGAGGAACCAAAACCAATTATTTATTCTATTTTAAAGTAAAGTGCAACTCAATTTCAGGAGCATGATAAACTTTTGATATATTCTCAGGGATTTAAAGGAGTTCTTAGTAAAATCTGTTTTGTAAATCTAAAAGCACATATATATGCATTTTTATTAACTGTCACTAATACTTTGCCATTTAAAAATTTATACAGTCTCCTCAAATCTTTGTTTTAGCAGTTTTCATCTAACACTAACACTTTGAGTCACAACTTACTTTAGTTTCCTTTCTGCTTTTACTCCTCAGCACTGTGTGTGTATGTGTGTGCCTGTGTCCCCTCTAGGATGAGTCTTCCGGAACTGAGCAATAAAAAACAAACATCTAATGACTTCTGTTCTTTGAAACACCTCCATTAATGGCCTTGGTATTATCTCTAAATAAACAGGTACAAAAATGGATATTAGAAACATGAACTGTCTGTGGCTAGGAAAAATTAGGATGTTCCTAATCATTTTCCTTCCTTCATTTATTGTCTGCTCTACCCAATCCATAAAATAATATATGCTTAGTTTAAAATAGTATTTTTTCTTTGGTGTTCCCACAAGTAATGACATTTTGGTATATCTGGTATTATATTATCCTCTGTGCTGTAGTCTGTGTCTATATAATTTAATCATATGGCCCATTCTTGAAGTTTGTCCTTCCTAGTTTGCTACTCGAACAATACTGAAAGAACATCTTTGCATATAAATAATTCTCTTAATTTTTTCCATCTCCTTTCCACCTGAGGATTGCCTCAACTACTGGGTTATAGGGTAAGAACTTTTAAGTTATAAGCCTTTGATACATTAACTCCAAAATACTGATGGAGCATAAACTGATACAATTTTTAAAGAAGGCATTGTACTAGTGGCCAGTTTACCAACGGCCTACTAGCATCAACTGTTACCTCAGACAACTTTCAATAGCCATGCCCACCTATACGTATATACCACCACCCCACCCTATAAATTTTTCTAAATTCTGAGATTAAATGCTTGAACTTTTTCCCCTAAATGAAGTGATTTTCACATTTTATGCAGTATATGTTATGCATAAGAAGTCCCTTGAATAATCATTGATAGAGTGCATTTAAACAACTATGTCTGAGAATACGATTTTACTACTTAAAATAATTCAATTATGGTAATTCTCCTTACATATAGGATATACTGTTAGTCTCACCAGTGAGTAAAGCTGGCACACAGAACCTATGGTCAGTAACACAACCCTAAAATATTAGTCCTGATGACCCTTCAGGGAAAAAAAGAATGGAATGTATTAAGACACATTTTCACTTTATCCACTCTAAGAACAAAGTAATACAAAAAATATAAACCTGTTTTTCTCCAGCTTATACTAATAAGCAACCAGAAAGACTGATTTTTTAATTTTTATTTCCTGGTTTTTAAAAAATTAAAACTATAGCTGATTTATAAGATTGTGTTAATTTCAGGTATACAGCTTCAGATTCTTTTCCATTATAGGTTATTACAAGATAGTGAATATAGCTCCCTGTGCTATACAGTAAATCCTTGTTGTTTATCTGTTTTATATATAGTGGTGTGTATCTGTTCAGCCCATACTTCTAATTTATCTCTTCCCCTCTGGTAACCATTAAGTTTGTTTTCCATGTCTGTGAGTCTGTTTCTGTTTTATAAATAAATGGATTTGTATTACTCTTTTGGATTCCACATGTAAGTGGTAACATATATCTGTCTTCTTCTATCTTAGTGTGATAATCTCTAGGTCCAACCACATTGCTGCAAACGGCAATATTTCATTCTTTCTCATGGCTAAGTAATATTCCATTGAGCACACACACACATACACCTCCCCCCACATCTTTATCCATTCATTAGTTGATGGACAGTTAGCTTGCTTCCATATCTTCATTGTTATGAATAGTGCTGTTATGAATACTAGTCTGCATGTAGAGTGGTATTTTAAAATACAGCTATTTCAAGATCTACAGTAATCAAAACAGCATGATATTGGCATAAAAACAGACATACGGATCAATGGAACAGAATAGAACCCAGAAATAAATCCACAGACCTATGGTCAATTCACCTTCAACAAAGCAGGCAAGAACATACAATGGAGAAAAGACAGTCTCTTCAGCAAGTGGTGTTGGGAAAACTGGATGGCACCATGTTTAATCAATGAGGTTAGAATACTCTCTCACTCCATATATAAAATTAAACTCAAAATGGCTTAAAGATTTAAATATAAGACAAGACACGATAAACCTCCTAGAAGGAAACATAGGCAAAACATTCTCTGACATAAATCTTAGCAATGTTCTAGGGCAGTCTACCCAGGCAATAGAAATAAAAGCAAAAATAAACAAGTGAGACCTAATTAAACTTACCAACTTTTGCACAGCAAAGGAAACCAAAAGCAAAACAAAACGACAACCTATGGAACAGAAGAAAATATCTGCAAATGATGAGACTGATAAAGGCTTAATTTCCAGCATATATAAGCAGCTCATACAACTTAATAAGAAAAAAACAAACAACACAATCCAAAAATGGGCACAAAACCTAAAAAACAAGCAATTCTCCAATGAAGACATATAAGTGGCCAATAAGCACATGAAAAAATGCTCAACATCACTAATTATTAGAGAAATGCAAATCAAAACTACAATGAGGTATCACCTCACACCAGTCAAAATGGCCATCATTCAAAAGTCCATGAACAATAAATGCTGGAAAGGGTGTGGAGAAAAGGCAACCTTCCTACACTGCTGGTGGGAATGTAGTTTGGTGCAGCCAGTATGGAGGACAGTATGACGATTCCTCAAAAAACTAAAAACAGACATACAATATGATCCAGCAATCCCACTCCTGGACATATATCCAGAGGGAACTCTAATTCGAAAAGATACATGCACCCCAAAGTTCACAGTAGCACTATGTACAATAGCCAAGACATGGAAGCAACCTAAATGTCCATTGACAGATGACTGGATAAAGAAGTTGTGCTATATTTATTCAACTGTATAGTTGAATACTACATAGCCATAAAAAAGAATAAAATAATGCCATTTTGCAGAAATATGGATGGGCCTAGAAATTGTCATTCTAAGCGAAGCAAGCCAGAAAGAGAAAGAAAAATACCACATGATATCACTCATATGTGGAATCTAAAAAGAACAAACAAAAAAACAAATAAGGACATTACGAACTCATCTACAAAAGAAAAAGAGACTTGCAGACATAGTAAACAATCTTATGGTTACGGGGGAAAGGGGTGGGACTTTGAGATTTGCAAATGTTAGTCGCTATATATAAAAACAGATTTTAAAAAAAGCTTCTTCTGTATAGCACAGGGAACTATATTTAGTATCTTGTAATAATCTTTACTAAAATAAATATGAAAACAAATACGTGTATATGCATGACTGAGACATTGGGCTGTACACAAGAAGTTAACACATTATAATTGACTGCATTTCAATAAAATAAATAAATAAATAAATAAAATACAGCTATTTTAAACTACACACAGAAAAGCCTTTATCTACATGGGCATATTTTTCCAAATATAATTTTACACAAGTTAAAAAAAAACTCAACACTTCATATTGTTTATGTAGTAAAAGTACAAAGAATACACAACAGCTTCTTAATACTTAGGGGCAAAAGGAACAGGATGGCTTCAGTGCTTCAGCAGTTGTGTGTGTGTGTTTAATCAAACATAGCAAAATTACTTCACTCTATACACTTTGCATAACAAAAATAACTGAATAAAAATAAGAGAATAGCTATATATCAGCATTTCAGATCAAATAATTTAAACTCCAAATATGATTTTAAAATAAGCATACCTTTGTACTTTAATCTTTTAAAGTTCATTAAAGTGGAGTTACCCCAAAAAGATACGAGTATTTTATGGACACTTTTGTTAGATCAGCTAAACGTTACAAACTCAAGTCTCAAATATAAGAATAAAATAAGTATTTCCATTTCTTAAAGATGTAGCAGTCATAAAAGCTGAACACGTTACAAGTCTATTTTAAAAGGCTAGAGACTCTACCTACATTGGAGGATCTGTTTGAAACTGAAAACTCTGTTTTTCAAAGTTCACAAAATGATGATTAGCTAAATACATTTAAACTGAGGACACTCTTTGTTAAAACTCTAGAGACTTTTATACTCATTTTAGGTGGATTTTACAGTCTGATAAATCCACGCAGAAAACAGTTCAACTGAATTTTTAATAACTAAATTATATACAAACTATTTCCTATATACAAATAGGATAGTCAGAAAAACATGATCACAAGAAGAGTTCATTTATAACTGCAACAGTAAAAACAAGGTACATACAAAATTAAATGGAGATGTGTCTTGTTCTTGACTAGAATTTTTTTTTGTATTGTATAAAGATGCCAGTTTTCTCTAACTCAGTTTAAAAATTCACTGTATTCCCAACAAAATGCTCAGATTTCTTTTGAAGTGAAAATGATTCTTAAATTCATTTGGAAGTGTGAGGATTAAAAAAAAAAGATTAAAATAATGAGAAGGGACCAATTCTATCAGATACTAAAATGCAGTATAAACAGCCACAAAAATTTAACAGCTGTATTATTGGGGGTAGGAATGGTTAAGAGACTACAGTAATCAGAAAATTTCCAGACATAATGTGGCAATTTAGTAAATGTAAAAGGTGACATTTTCAACTGGTGGGAGAAAGATGGATTATTTGATTAATAATATTAGGAGATAGGGTCTTGTCCTTGTTAAAAATACCTTTTTTTCATCCTTATCTTACTATATTAAAAGTAAACCTACATCTGCCAAATATTTACAGGCTGAAAAAAACCAATGAGACAAAATATGGTATATAAAAGCAAGGGTGGTATATATGGAAATAAAAACCATGGTAAGAAGCCCAACATAGCATGACTTGAAACTCTGAAAACAAAAAGGAAAGACAGCATAATTTATGTGTGTGTCAAATTTAAAATTCCAAGCAAAAAATCATTACACAATAAAGTTTTTTTTTAAATGACATACTGGACACCAGACATGTGAAATAAGACTAAAGGCTAATATCCATAGTACACAAAGAACTGAGGAGAAATCAACAGAAACAGCAAGAGAAAGGGCAGGAACCATCACTTACTTAAAGGAAAAATAGAAAGTAAGCAATAAAGGAGTTCAAACTCATTTGTATCTGCTTATCAGACTGGTAAAATTGTAAAGATTAATAATAGCCACTGCTGATACGGACAGAACTGGTATCAGCATGGTAGAAAGTTTTTGGATGGTAAGTTGGCACTATCCATTAATTATAAGTGTAAATTCCCCTTCACATAAAAATTCCATTTTTATAACAGAAATGTATTCTGCAGGAATATTCACAGAAGCATGCCAAGAGACTGCACAAGTGAAGCATTCATAGAGAAAAAAGCTGGAAATTACCCAAATGCTCATCAACAAAGGAGTGAATAAAAAATAATGTAGCCATTGAATGAAATGTATACTCATCTACTGAACAAATATTTAAGCACCTTTTATGTTGCTGGCAATGCAATACAGAATCAAGGTCATATATCCAGCAAAGCTGCCTTCTACTTTTAGAGAGTTAAGCAATAAAAACCAGACAATTTAGAGAGACCTGCTATGAAGAAAATAAACACTCAGAGTGACTAGC